TGATGATACATGATGATGATGATGATACATGGTGATGTAATGGTGATGATATATTTTCCATGTTCTGTTATCTGATATAAGTTCACTTGCTTCATCAGAGGGAGAACACACACGCACCAAGACAATAGTCACATCTACCGTCGGAAAACTCTCCATGTTTACCAAGAAGCGAAGTACTTGTATTGGATGCAAGAGTAGCTTGGACGACGAAAGTAAGACACGCTAAATATTGCTAGGACTTTTCATTTCATATATTATCGCTTGGTTCGCATCATTAAAAGAAATATCTTTGCAGATGCTGCTGTTTGCAAGCACTGCAAGACTCGTGAATCAGACCTTTACCAGAAAGAAGTTGGCCACCTCAAGACCTTGGAAGAAAGATTTGCCAGGTTATGGACACAATGTCAGAACTGTACGGGAAGTTTACACCAAGATGTACTCTGCACAAGGTATGTGAAGCCTCCTCTTCCTCTTCCTCCTCTTTCTCCCTCGCCCCCTTCCTTTCCATATGTGTTTCTTATTACTTTCCTCCATCTATTTCTCATCCAGCGTCTCCCTTCTCTGCAGCTTCCTTCTCTTCTCGCCTTTCTTTGCTTCCTCCTTCTTTCTCCCTCTTCCATTTCATTTTCCATTTTCTCTTCCTTCCCTCCTCTTCAATCCCATCAACTCTGCTTTACTTTTTAAACAAAAATATTTCAATCGTATTCAGTCATATATCGTATCTTTCATTTTAACATTTTGCCTTTCATTTTCCTAGTCGTGACTGCCCAATCTTCTACATGAGAACAAAAGTACAAAAGGACCTCTTGAATCAAGACAAACTCGTCAGTCGTTTTGGCGTATTTGAGTGGTAAACAAGACAACGTTACCACACCGTTGTACTGCTTGGGAAAGAATGTCCAGCGATGAAAAATATCTGGCGACTTCGTATAGTGAATGGGTTGAAAATATCTGAAGAAACTGCTTAGGAAAATGCGTTAGAAATAAACACATGTTCTGTGCACACAACGCGCTAAAATTCATCATTCTTGTATACATAAAAGAAACGACAAAAACTCACATCTTAAAGCAAGCTATGGCAGCTTTCAATTTAATATTCCTTTCTTTGATTTTATTTTTACACCAAGGTATGTTCTGTCGTAGTGTAGTTGTGAAAAAGTTGGGATGTCTTTTGACGTAGTTTGGTATGAAAATAAAATATTTTGGTCGCACATTCTTTTGTTCTTTTTTCATTTTTCTTACTAGATACAAGTTCTAAAATCTGTTGCAACTTTATTAGAATAGTCTTATGAAGGGTGCAAAAGAGCGATTCTTCTGTGTTTTTTCCAAGGCAACGCATGATCGCTGAATGACTTATTTCGCGCGCGCGCGCAAAAAAAGAGCGTTTACAACGCGTATCAATCCCCTTTCAATCAATAAGAAGCTCAAGTATTTTTAGAAATAAAAGTAGTCTCAAAAAGTCCTAAAATTGCTTTTCCACCTTGTGTAGTAATTAGAGTCCTCTTTACAAAAAATATATCCAAAAGGATGACGCATTAAAATCTCTTTTTTCTTTACTTTCGATTCGCCAAGAATTTTTCCTCGCCCCAGCTCACCCCTTCTCTAAAGGAACAAGAAAATAAAATGAATGAAGTTCTAGTCGATAATTTCCCTAAATTTCGTAGGGGAAAATCTTCTAAAAAGCGTAAAATCAAGCACAAATGTACCGAGGACGAGTGAGTAGCATTTTTAAAGATTTTTGATTACATTTTGTTGTAAAAATGATGTAAAACTAAGTTTTTATTTTTCAAACTTGCTTTACGCCATCTGCATTCAGACTGTCAAATGTCAACACAAGTTCATCTGATGTATTGATAAACCGCTGAAAATTTTGTAAAACAAAGGAAAAGAGATATGTTTTTAAAGTTTAAAAATTCTTTTCCGGTCTAAATCCTGAAAGAAAATGAAATGCAAATGGACAATATATATGAAGAGACGTGATGTGAGTGTTGACACTCCACCCCTCCCTCCGTGCGCATGGTATTATCAAGTAATATGCATACTGTATGCTCATACTATATATTATCGTTCGGTCACGCTACTATAAATTGGAGTTTTCTGCAAGAAAATTATCCCAAACTCTGCACAAAACTCTATACTACTTAGACCTTAAATAATGAACATGCTTCGAGGTTTGAGTTTGTTCAGAGCTAAAGGGGTAGTGGAAATACTTTGTCGATCGAATTCGAAAGTGCCATTCAACAGAGTTTATATAAACCATGGAAAACCACAACTACCATGGCTTCTTGCTCTACGTACTGTACACAGCTCGTCGTCCTTACAGATGCGAGTATACTCCTACGAGGAAGCGTTCAAGAGCTCTATCGAGGAGCCGGAGAAGTTCTGGGATGAGGTGGCTGAAGGAATAGATTGGTATAAACCGTATACGAGAGTGCTAGACCATTCTAATCCTCCCTTTACGAAATGGTAAGCTAAATCCCACCTTCCTGGCTAAATATATCAGCTTACGATAAGTAGATTTATAATGCTATAAATTAATAAATTTCAACGTTTTTCCTTTCAAAAACTGTCGAATTTTTATTAAGAAAGGTCAAGAAAAGCAAGATAACAATACGTCTAGCTGTAGTATAAAACGCTTGCAATTGTACGTTTACTACGCAAAATCTTCGTCGTTTCAAGAGTACGTGATCTCTGAGGTCAAATATCCAGTCAGTGGAAGCACATGGCTCTTTTTATCCAGATTTTTCATTAACATTTACGTAAAATAATAAGTTATTGATTTCATAAACATTTATTTGCTGGTCGCGCGACCCCCCTGCTTTGTCTGGTTCTTCGAGACGGATGTAATTATGCTAATTAGAAGTGATTGTTTTGAAGGTTCCCGGGCGGAGAATTAAATACGTGCTACAACTGTCTTGATCGACACATCGAGAAAGGACGTGGTAGTCAGACAGCACTGATCTATGACAGTCCAGTTTCTGGGAAAATTGAGATGTATTCTTATCAAAACTTGCAAAGATTAGTAAGTATATGAGTGAATTTGAGTATTAAGGGGGCTCATGAAGCTAAACTGTTGTTATAGTAACACAAAAAATATTTCCTTAAAAAAATAATTCAGTAGTGTCTCATGTAATATCTTATGATTTATGAGAAGCAGAATGACGTTTTAAAAAATCAAATCAAATTTAAATTTGAAATTTTTAGGTTGCTAAGTTTGCTGGAGCACTTGCAAGTTTGAATGTGTGCAAAGGAGACAGAGTTATTATTTATATGCCAATGGTACCTCAGGTGAGAATGCAAAATGTTGACACTAGCTTGTTATGTGTGCATATGGTGTAGCTGATTGTATACACCTATGTCATCACCAAAGGTAATAGGCAATAGGCAGAAAGCAACAGGAGATAGGTCATTCCAAGATCCAAGAATAGCTGGAATGGACATTTGTGTTGAGACTGATTCAATGTTCTTTGTATTCAATGAAACCATTTCTATGTCAGAATGGCCTGTTGCCTATTGCCAATGTTTTTTTAAATAGATGTACATATAGAGTATATATTTCATGTGACATTTTTTCCCCAGGCTGTTGTTGCTATGTTAGCATGTGCAAGGATTGGTGCTGTCCATTCTGTTGTATTTGGGGGATTTGCTGCTCCAGAACTTGCTAGAAGAATTGAACATGCTGAGGTATGTAGACAATGTTCTATGAACCTCTGTCTACTTGTAACTACAGGGTCAAATATATAATACCATTATGCTTTCTCTTTCCATGTTAAGCCTAGAGTTGTTGTAACTTCTTCATGTGGTATTGAACCAACTCGTCTTGTACATTATAAACCAATTCTTGATGAGGCCATAAAGATATCAAGCCATAAGCCATCTACAGTAATTCTACACCAGAGAGATCAGGTATTGAACAGCAGTAGCTTAAACTTGTTCTTCCCTATCCTGTGCAATAACTCCTCCTCTCCTCTCCTCTCCTCTCCTCTCCTCTCCTCTCCTCTCCTCTCCTCTCCTCTTGATGACCATAACTTAATACCTAACATTCTTTTCTCTTCTGTTTGTGATTCAGTCTTCTGGAAACATTATCCCAGGACAAGACGTCACTTGGGATCAAGTCATGCAAAATGCTGAGCCACATGACTGCGTACCAGTTGAATCTACAGATCCACTTTACATCCTCTACACTTCTGGGACAACTGGAGATCCAAAGGTACTTTTACTCCAGTTTCATATTCCCTTGACAGGGCTCAGAGGAGATACATTGGATTCTTGCAGGGATAGGGATTGCAGAGCACCCTAAAATTCGTGGAGCTCGCATTGTATAACTCATTTAAACACGCTTGCCTTGTCAACCTTTTTTAATGCATAAACACAGATAGACACTTTCTGGTACAACATAACCTACCATTCACACCATTATTTGAGAGGATACTTTCACTACCAATGGACTGCTGTTGAAAATGTAGTCAGTTGAATCTGAAACCACAGGTAGCCCAGGTGATGCTGCTGGAATATACAAGCAACAATTTGGGCTTCCTGTGGTACGACAAGTATTTGATTTTTGTGTGATGATTCTTTATGTAGGGTATTGTACGACGCAATGGAGGTCATGCTGTTGCACTTAACTGGTCTATGAAAAATATCTATGGCATTAACCCTGGAGAGGTTCGTAGCCTTATAGTCATATACAAATTACATTTAACATTATATGCCTTTAAAATGGAGAACTAATGCAGAGATGGGTACAAGGAACTTCTTCACGCCAGCCTTGCTGAGTGGAACTATTGAATATAGCCACTTATAGCCTCCTTCACAGGCTACCCCATTTATTCTCTGTTGGGATCCCTGTGTTAAATTTTATGGCAGAGAAGAACTCGCCACACGAATTTCAAGGAGGAAAAAAGAGCCAAGGAGATCCCTGCAGAGGAGGCTAAGCCATTTTTATACTAGCCTCCTGCGCAGCTGCTGTGAGGGATGGAAACCAGAAGTGCTTCACAGCGGCAGTGCAGGAGGCTGCTTATACCAGGATACTTGCATTTTAGGTGAATAGGGTTTTGCACCATCACGTGACGGCAGCCATGTTAGATGGCAGGAACAATACATTCGTTTTAAATGAGAAAGAATTCAATTCCCAAGTGCAAAGGGATTTTATTGTTCTGCTATCTAACCACAGGCAGCCCAAGCTGTACTATGAGCGTTGGTGCGTGATGGTGTAAAACTTCTATAGTGCAATTTTCGTATGACTGTGAAAAGTTCACGGCACGAACACGGTCGTGACACAGCAAGGGATACGCCAGACCAATCACATTGCACGAGAATTTACTCTCCATCCAATCAAATACCCGGAACATGGCATAAACACGGCTCGGACACGGTCACGCCAAGATCAAGGCACTTTTAGACCAATCATATTGCGCCAATCAAAATTCTAGAAAGTATCACGGTCACGGCACGTCACGCTTACGGCACTGAGCTTTTTACCGTCATACGAAAACTGCAGTATGCGGAGCGTCATATGGTTGGATGTTTATTGTGACGCTATTTCTTGTAGGTTTGGTGGGCAGCTTCTGATCTTGGATGGGTGGTGGGACATTCGTACATCGTCTATGGCCCTCTTCTCTCAGGATGTACATCAATTCTATTCGAGGTAAAGAGTGTCTTAATTTATCGAGATAATACTCTGAAGAATATTGATATAGAACTCTTGAGGTAGAGACACATGGTTAAACTGTCACGCACAGCGTTGCGCACGAGTGGAACTCTATTTTGCGCCGGAAATTTTGAGTGCAACAAGAGCGGGAGAATATCTGGCTCCCTGGATATCGTAGTGGTAAACACGTTAAAATCGTTGCGCGCGGCGGTGCACGCCACAAAAAAATGTGTCCCCAAGGCGCTGGAGGCTCGCTGACTGCGCTCAACGTTCCTGACGCAGAATCTAGATTTGCTCCTGCAACATGGCGCACTGCAGTTACCACTGGTTCGGCCTTCTTGCGATTAAGAATGGCTTGTTTTGTCTGTGTTTGTAGGGTAAACCAGTAGGTACTCCTGATGCGGGAGCTTTTTTCAGAGTTATTGAACAACACAAAGTTGTCAGTATGTTTACTGCACCAACAGCCATTAGGATCATCCGAACTGAGGTAAGACCCTGCTCCGTCATAATCACCAGGATAGTTCTAAACCATGTGGGATCGATCTTGCCTGTCTCTAGATAATGCGTCCTAATGGACTTAAGAGAAATTTAGACATTCAGTGATTAAAAAACCGCCGCACTAGAGGCTGGGAGAGTTTTGAGACAGACCTCTTTTGGTAATACAGAAGAGTGACCCGTCATTTTGAACACCGGATATTTTGAACTTCCGGGGACTTGACACTGATTTTGCCCTGGATACCCTTGTCAAAGGAGGTTGGAGATCTTAAATGTTTTTTTATTTCGAGTTTTCTTCTCATTTCAGGATCCTAAGGCAGAAACCATCAAACAATACGATCTATCCCAGTAAGCGCTGCAAGAAATAAAAATCTATCGATAAAAAAATCTTACTCTTGTGATCTCTTTTCGTAGAAAATAATTATTGTAGACAGTGGAAGATAGTTAGAGATAGCTGAGGATAGCTGAGATTCAGTAAGGAAGAATATTGAAGGAAAGGAAAATTAAAGTGCTTGGAGCGAAAGAAGAAAACCATGAAATAGGTAAAAGAGAGAGCTAAATAGAATCCTGTTTTGATTCCTGTTAAGCCTGTTTTCATTACATATTCTATGGTAATATTGCATAGCAACTTTTCAAACCTGTTTTTTCTTTCCTGCTTAAACCAGTTTTCGTGACATGTTCTTGGCTGGTGAGCATCTGGATAAAGATACAATGCATTGGGCAAGACGTGCCATCAGCGCTCCTGTCTATGATAACTGGTGGCAGACAGGTAGGTTGCTTTTCGTTACACATACAGTACGTTTCCCATAATTTTGGCGGGAAAAACTCCGTAACTGTAACATTATATGATATTGTGTGACAATGCATCTTTGTTTAACTAGTTACGTTATAGTTAATCACATGATTGTAATCGTATATATATACACATGTACGCCAGATATATATCAGTTCGCGTACTGATCAATACATGTAGTATAGAGTCAAGATAAAACAAATAAATCGAGACATAACCAACCGAAGACTATCACAGTAACCATGACGATGTCTTTTCCTAGCATTTTCATTGGATGCCACGCAGTGGTCTCGCGTACTGTGATTGGTTCAAAGAATGTCGTAGTGTGATGTATTGCTGTGTTCTTGGTGTTTACTAATATGATTTCCACATGCATTTACCGTGACGGTGCGTGTCTAACGATTTTGATTGAATGCGCATTGATCTCGCGCGCTGTGATTGGTCCAAAGGATGTTGTAGCGTGATCTTGCTGCGCTCCTGCCGTTTCAAACATATAGTAGATCTTAGCACATAGCCAAGTTTTGATTTCTTATTTTTATCCTTCGTGCGCAGAGTCAGGCTGGGCCATCACAGCTCATGCAGTAGGACTGGGACGACCGATGGACGAGCATTTACAAACTACTGGAAAACCTGTTCCGGGATATAACGGTGAGAATTGAGTACACACGCAAACAAAAGAACTGCCTGCTACAACAATCTGTTGCCAAAAAAAGAGATTCGCTCCAATGAGATGAAGTGAAAATGCACATAGCTTTGAACATAATAAGAAGTAGCCATGGCCTAGAACTTGCGCACACCTACTTCGTCGCTCGATCGCTCGCTGCGCACAATGACTTCTATCTTATTGAACAAAAATCTCTCGCGAGAGACAAGAGAGGTCGACTTGAGGCAAGTCTACTGCAAGACCTGTGCTCTAGAGCTTTATAAGGATAAGATTCATGAGAGATCTACTCTTCCTCTCGAATGTCATTACTGAGTGCTTTCGTTTGTTTGCTTGTTTAGTTAAGGTGTTAAGAGAGGATATGACCGAGGCTGATCGAGGAGAATTAGGGCAGATAGTGGTCAAGTAAGTACCAGTACCTCTCGTGCGTGCTAGTTCTCCAGGCCTTTTCCTACAAACTTTATATTTTTTTGAAAAATAATTAAAAATAATGTTGTCTTTTTGTTGATAGGCTCCCAATGCCTCCTGGGACGGCTGGTACTTTATGGAAAGCAGATGAAAAATTCATGAAAGCTTACTTTGAAAAATATCCGGTGAGCACGTGATACACGATGAGGGTGATAGTGATGATAGATGATGCTACATCACGATAATCATGATACAGATGATGATGATACTTGATGATAATGATACATGATGATGATACATGATGATGATGATGAT